CATAAACACCACGTTGTGATAGTAAACTGTTTTATAAACACCACGTTGTGATACTAAAAGGTTTAATAAACACCAAGACGTGACAATAAACTATTTTATAAACACCACGTTGTGATACTAAAAGGTTTAATAAACACCAAGTCGTGACAATAAACTATTTCATAAACACCACGTTGTGATAGTAAACTGTTTTATAAACACCACGTTGTGATACTAAAAGGTTTAATTAACACCAAGTTGTGATAGTAAACTGTTTTATAAACACCAAGTTGTGATAGTAATCTGTTTTATGACACCACGTTGTGATACTAAAAGGTTTAATAAACACCAAGTCGTGACAATAAACTATTTTATAAACACCAAGTTGTGATAGTAAACTGTTTTATAAACACCACGTTGTGATACTAAAAGGTTTAATAAACACCAAGACGTGACAATAAACTATTTTATAAACACCAAGTTGTGATAGTAAACTGTTTTATAAACACCACGTTGTGATACTAAAAGGTTTAATAAACACCAAGTCGTGACAATAAACTATTTTATAAAACAGTTTACTATCACAACTTGGTGTATGACACCAAGACGTGATACTAAACTGTTTTATAAACACCAAGACGCGATACTAAACTGTTTTATAAACACCAAGTCGTTATACTAAACTGTTTTATAAACACCAGTTACCTGATACTAAACTGTTTTATGACACCAATTTGTGATAGTAAACTATTTTATAAACACCACGTTGTGATAGTAAACTGTTTTATAAACACCACGTTGTGATAGTAAAAGGTTTTCTAAACACTACATCCTGATAAAAACAGGATTTGAAATCAATACGATATAATCATCTGTATCAGTTTTATACGGACATAACTTCATGATATATAACAGCTCTATAACAATATGTATTTGATGGACAAAAGCACGATATTATAAAACCAGGAGTAACTTATACGTGTAGCTAATTTGGTTAATTTCTGGTATCAGTCTGTGTATCAGCAAGTTCATTTTTAAAAGGAGGTCTCATTTATCATTGACCTTATATAGAAATTAGTATTATTTGAAGTGATGACTATGTCACACTTGAGCTAGCCGAGGATCAAAATTAGGCTTAAAAATATATCTCAACCGTGTTTGGGGATATACCCTACAAAGTACATCCTTAGCAGATTTTTATAAGCAAAAAATATTTACCAATCTATGGCAAAATGAGAACAGCAGGATATTTAGTAAGTTCATATGAAGTATTCTCCCAATAATATGTATATGGAAAAATCATTTTAGTATAACAATTATTTGATATTATTAAATTATCTGTACATAGTAACATTAAGTCATGACTAGATGACATGAGTGTTAGACACGGAGTAACATTTAGTCATGACTAGATGACATGATTGTTGGACACGGAGTAACATTTAGTCATGACTAGATGACATGAGTGTTGGACACTGAGTAACATTAAAACACTCATGTCATCTAGTCATGACTCATCTAGTCATGACTAAATGTTACTCATTTTCCAACAATCATGTCATCTAGTCATGATTAAATGTTACTCAGTGTCCAACACTCATGTCATCTAGTCATGACTAAATGTTACTCAGTGTCCAATACTATTATATATGTATGACAACAAGTATTACATCTGAAAGATGTGCATTGAACAGTTAAGTTAGCTTTTACGATAAGAGAAACGTACCGTGTGTTTATCATCGCTAGCTGTATCGATACTGATATCTGAACGTGTTTTATCTAAAACAAACGTATTTGGTAAACCTGTTCTTTCTGTTCCTCAGTTACAATATATTTTCACAGCAGGGTTTTAGAGTACAAGCATTCTTATTTTGTATGTTCTACCACAAAATGGCGTCAGGAGGAATCCTCATCAAATATTTTGTGTCACATTAGCTGTCTGAAAATTGAGTTTACAGCAGTAGTAATAATAAGAGTCTTTAATTCTGGAAAGGACCTACCATCGGATGTCTTAGAAATGTTTTCACTATCGTCAATCTGTGTTGTGGATTCAGACTGACGAAACTCGTTCCAGTAATCCTCAAATTCCCCGTTGTTGGTTCTTTCCATAACAATAACGATGAAACTGTGTAAATCAGTAACATGTACCTATTCTCCTGGATAACACTGAAAGTATAGAAAGATAAAGGAGTCATTCAAGATGTTTATATCTTCTTAAGAATAAATGCATTTTAAAATATGTTGCTACTTTTTTCCAATTTCCAGGGAAACCTAACATTCAATTTTGTTTGTTACGTTTGTCCAAAGACAAGATACTGACACCGGAAGAATTGTTATTATCAGTTCCTACTAACCCAGCTTTATTGTTATTAAAGTTAGAAGATGAGAAAAATAAGTTATCTGGAGAAACTGGAAACCAAATGTAAAAATGTTTGCCTAAAAGTTCTGGGGCTGATGTACAGTTCCTATTTTACCACATCAAAAAGTGAATGTTGGCCAAACTCCGGCCAACCTAAATGTTCTTACGTCTTAATTTCGTGCCTATTTTAGAATCCTAATAAATAAATGTTGGTCACAAACCTGAATTTTCTCATTTCCGTGGGTTCTCCCAACAACTGAATGTTGGCTATACTCCGTAGAATAAACCCAATCCCAACAACTGAATGTTGTTCCGTAGAATAAAACAAATACTGTGAAATACTCGCCAATAAAAACAAGTTTCTTAACGAATACCAAAATAACTTTTCAGTCAACAACCCTTCATCGGGTTAACAGTGAGGAGAAAACTGCTTTCAGAAGTGCTAGGATAAAAAGAATAAAAGATCCAAGAACGCATTTCGGAACATATTCTTAAGCTAAAACAAGAGGAGGTATAAGAATTAACACAAAAATATATAAAAACAAAATAGCAATAATAAAATTAATATGTTGAGTGAAACTGGAGGAAGAGGAAAATTATATGAAATAAAGTAAATTAAGGTAAATAATTGAAAAAGTAGAACATGACTACTTAATGATACAAACAATAAGACAATACAAGTAATTATAGAATGAACAAAGGAATCGAATACTATTGTTCAGCGAGATACAACAAATGGGAATTTAATATTAAAAATGAAGAAAGCCTTATAAAAACTAGCTAATAAATATAAAGGTAACAAATATGGTAAATAAAAATATTAACTTAAATGCGTCAGTTAATGAATATATAAAGGAAAGTGTTCATTGAACAAAAGTGTCGATCAAACCTCCGGCAAACCCAAACGTTCTTATTATATTATTTCACTACTTTTTTCACAATCCCAACAAAGGAACGTTAGCTATACCACGACCAACTTAAGTGTTCTTACTTTATTATTCACATACCAGGAAGTTTCTTGTTACCAATATTGAAACTATTTTACGTATCGATTTCCATACAATTTCTACGATATTGACGACAAATAATCAATCTTCGTATGTCTCGGAAGAGCTCACGCAACCTGTCAAGATAATATTATCCAGAGAAGAAAATTTAATAAATAATTGAAATCAACGTTTCATATTTACACATTTTACTGAAGCCGTCAATGGCTTCCACTTTAAAAGCACTTTCTACGTGTACATTGTTTCAACGTCCGCTCGTCTTCAATAATTGATACTTTTTTCCCATGTCGTATGATATTACATTGTTACTTACCTAATTCCTTGGTCAACCTTTATAATACATCACACCAAATATTAATGAAGTGACTTGACGGTCCTTCATCTCTGTTTAATACTTATTTTGTTATTTCCAGTGATTCTCTGACATTTAAAGCTATAATATTGTGAGATTGAGCTACAATTGTAGTTTTTCCCATACAATTGTGTGTTGTTTTGTTTTTACATGTTCTGCTATAGCCGAGTTTTCTATTTTATTATTTCTTACGTAACCTTTATGTTCCTGTAATTTGTATTCTAAATTCCTTTTAGTTTGACCAATATAAAGACTCCCACATTTACATTATATTTTGTTAATCCCAGTTTTATGTTCTAATTCTATTTTATCTTTAGTATTCCCTAACATCTCTTTAATCACTAGAAATAACAAAATAAACAAAAGAAGTATCAAGTCAGTTCATTTTCGGTAAAGTACGTTTATTCGTCGGACGTTTCGGAATATTCACATTCCATCTCTAGCGACTGTATTAATTAATCGATAGTATTAAATACAGATATTCATTCAGTTGGAACATTTATAGTAGCATAATGCAAAAGAAAAACAAACAAACAAAAACAACAACAACCAGCAGGATTTAAACAGGAAATAAAAAAAGTTTAACTATTATATTACGAAACTCGTGTGGTAAAGAAGGGGAGGTATAGAGATAACACTGTATAGTTGACAATGTGCTAGGGATATTTATAATAGGCTTAGCTGTAAAGAAGTTGTGTTATTGTTTAGAGTGGGGCTTTCTTTTAAAATGGACAAGCTTTCTTTGGTGAGAAGTTCTGTGTTGGATGAACCAGTCAAAATTACTTTAAAATTGTTAACCAGAATAAGGTGGCTGTTATTGTCACTATGTAAGAGGATTGCTGATTCAGGTAGATTTGATAGTTTATTAGATATATTGTACCGGGGTTAACTTCATGTCAACTCCAGGTCAAGAGATACTAGACCCCAAAGTACATATTTCATTCTATCAAGAACAAAATAGTATCAATAATAACTGTTATTTGCCAAGACGTACATTCCTGTACTTCATAAATTAATATTTTTAGGATGTCTCTAGGTTCTAGATTATTAGGATATATTGTACCCTGGTTTAATGTTTTCTAGGATTTTTATAATTTGTAGATTTTTAGGATACATTGTACAATGATTTAATGTTTTCTAGGATTTCTCTAATTTTTAGATTATTAGGATACATTGTATCCTGGTTTAACGTTTTCTAGGATTTTTATAATTTGTAGATTTTTAGGATACATTGTACAATGATGTAATGTTTTCTAGGATTTCTCTAATTTCTAGATTATTAGGATATATTGTACCCTGGTTTAATGTTTTCTAGGATTTTTATAATTTCTAGATTATTAGGATATATTGTATCCTGGTTTAACGTTTTCTAGGATTTCTCTAATTTCTAGATTATTAGGATATATTGTACAATGATTTAATGTTTTCTAGGATTTCTCTAATTTCTAGATTATTAGGATACATCGCACCCTGGTTTAATATTTTTTCTAGGATTTCTTTAATTTCTAAATTACTAGGATACATTGTACCCAGGTTTACGTTGGCTAATATTTGTTTTTATAGGACTGACGTTGTACCTTGTTCATGCAAGTGTGTGTCCCTGGTGAAGTAATGGTCGCTAGACTTACGATGCTACAACCGGGATCGATATCCATGTAAACACTGAGCGGGATAGCCTTTTACGTTCGAAAATCAAACAAATCCTCTTCGGATCCTGATATATTCCGTCAGAGACCAACTTTACATATCCAACTGAATCGCAAATTTGAACGTAAAGTTGCTTTCCAATTAATGATACACTGACATTATCTTCAAACTTTGTAAAGTATAAAAACAAGAAACAATAATTTAGAGCTAATACCAGCGTCTTCTTATTTTTGATAAGGCACTTACCTTATTAATACACAGCTTTCTGATCATGCATAAGATGGTAAAGTACACCAGCGTAATATAGTGTCCATGTCACCTAGTTATCTTCATAACACTCCGACATTCATCAAGTTTAACTTAAAGCAGCCACAGCTATGATCTACAACACAGCAGGTCATGAGGTACATGCGCATACGCATAATTGCTTCACAACCGTTATCGTGGCAGTTCGGAGGTAAACAAAGTCACATCTGTTGACAAAGGTTAACCGGATTTACAGCACGGAAAACGGTCTTATCAGCTTTCCCTTGCTGCCTGCATATCAGTCCAAGGGAAGTTGGATTACGTCACAGTACAATAAACGAACTGTAAGAATGGAAAGGATTTTAGTGATTATTTACTACTTGTAGAAGTACAACTGTTTAAAACCTCTAACTAGATAAGTTCTTTAATGTCAAAGTTAACGAAAACTCGCGCTTAGTTTACCTGCTTTTTATTAAAACTTGTAACTTTGAAGACCAATTAACGCAAGAAAGGAATTTCTATGTCTGTGACCTCTGACAAAAGATACTTATAACAATATTTTTCAATTACCTTTTGTGGCGTTTAATTACTTACAGCCAATACCTCAAATATAAACTCATTTCATCTAGTCATGACCAAATGTTACTCCGTGCCCAACACTCATGTCATCTAGTCATGACTTAATGTTACCCCGTGTCCAACACTCATGTCATCTAGTCATGACAAATGTTACTCAGTGTCCAACACTCATGTCATCTAGTCATGACTAAATGTTACTCAGTGTCCAACACTCATGTCATCTAGTCATGACTTAATGTTACTCAGTGTCCAACAATCATGTCCCTGGTCACTAAACAACGACAACAATGATATACTATCTGTTCCACTTCCTTGAAAGTATATATATTACCAAATTTACATCGTTATCTCCTTTACTTTCGTTAAAATACAAAGATTAAGGAATTTACCTCCTGTTGCCGCAAAAACGCGATTTGACTTTGGAACCGTCGGGAACTATAATAGTGAAGGTCAAATCCTACTATATATATGGTCAGACAAGATCGACCCAAGGGTTAAACGGAAGGTGTTTTTGACTATCTGCCTTACTCCAGTTTATCAGTTAAAAATTAGAAACGGCTATACACAGATAGCCTCTGTGTAGTTTTGTGTGAAAGTTCTACAAAACAAACAAACCAATTTTGTCTCAACTTTTTTATACTGCGGCATAACGGCTCATAGAATGGCTCTGTATTTTTTTTTTTTTCAAATAGAAACGTTTAGCTCATAGCTCCGTCATCTCTTGACTGATTTGAGATCATATTACAGTTTTGGACTCAAGTGGTCAAACTCTTTCGATTGATATATTTTACCATGCTCATGTCTCATAGATTAATTTACTCTAATTCTGCCCAAAATAGATTCAATTTGGGGGCAGGCTGGTAGAGATCCTGGTGAGTAATAAAATCGAATATGGTATACGCGCGTCCCATACTTGGTATTGCTGGCGCACAAAGAATATAGCTAATAAAAAGGATGAGAAAATGTCTCGTGGATTAATTTACACTAAACCTGTCTAAAAGAATTTCAAATGCCGCGGCTACTGAGGATTCTCTCTTGTTTATTATTTTACAGAAAGTCTCTAGAGTCTTACATTGTGTAACTTTGCATAAATCATGATGCAAATACACAGTGTAATTGTCTCAAGAAATAAAAAACTTTATACAACAATGAACGTGGTACATGTAAACACAGGTATTTATATATATATGACTTGCAGTCACAGAATACAAGAAGTAAGTGCCATAGCCAAATATTAGTTGCACCCATACATACACTTCAATATCCAGAAAAATAAATTTTATGAAAATGGAAACTCTCCATTAATAACTGAGACTTGCGAAACTGTTACTGACTATGAAATATAATTGCTGGATTAAAACTTGAAGCATGTTAAAATATATATGCCAAATTATTAACTTTCAAAATAAAACAATATCTAGCAGGAAAAATGTCAATACGTGTTGCTAAAAGTGTAAATACATGTTGCTAAAAGTGTCAATACGTGTTGCTGAAAGTGTCAATACGTGTTGCTAAAAGTGTCAATACGTGTTGCTAAAAGTGTAAATACATATTGCTAAAAGTGTCAATACGTGTTGCTGAAAGTGTCAATACATGTTGCTGAAAGTGTCAATACATGTTGCTAAAAGTGTCAATACATGTTGCTAAAAGTGTCAATACATGTTGCTAAAAGTGTAAATACATGTTGCTAAAAGTGTCAATACATGTTGCTAAAAGTGTAAATACATGTTGCTAAAAGTGTCAATACACGTTGCTAAAAGTGCCAATACGTGTCAGATTCAAACTAGATATGATAAAAAAATTCAAGGGTTTATTTATCATTTAAAGAAACGACTTACAACAAAATTTTATTAATCACTTAAAGAAACAACTTACAATAAAAGCATATTTTTACAGAACAGGGAATCGTACGGTAAAATTCTCATTCTTAGTTTTTCTACTGTTATTAATCAGATGCTAAGAGAAAGTGCAACTTGCATTAACAGATAAACAACAAAATAAGAAGTTTAATCAATGTTTTGTGATTAGTATTACTTTACTTGTTGCAAAATAAAATAGTTATTAAGTCAAATTTTCCAACAAAGTAGCCATAATTATCACGCACGTTTTGAGTTCCAGTACTTACTGGTAATTCTTCACAGTTTTGCTGCTCAGTGAATCCTTTTTCCTGCGAAAAAGAAAACGTTTATTAAACATTTAATAACAGAAAAAAAAACTTATTACGTAAGTCAGATAACGTTTACTAAACACTTAACAGAAAAAACTCATTATGTGAGTCAGATAATGTTTATTAAACACTTAATAATAGAAAAAAACTTATTATGTGGGGCAGATAACGTTTATTAAATACTTAATACACTCAATACTTTTGTAAATGTTCCAAATAATTTCATTTACAAATTTCAGAAAGAAGCATCTTATTATTAACTTACCTTCACACGAAACCCTAAAATTTCAGGACTTTTAGCATCCACTTGTGAACATAAAGTGGCTGCTGACAGTTTATGATTCTCCAAGTAATTAGCAGGCATATGTCGATTTGTGTGATCTCTTATTGTTCCCCGGGTCTGATAACGAAGAATCTCGATATCTAGGGAATACAGATTTTTACCAAATTCAACTGAAATGCTATTTGCTTCAACTCAATCATTGCCAAAGGGTCACTCTAGACTGTCGAGCTTTCCTGCTAGATCTACAATCGTGGTTTATTTACCTAAAATATAAAGGATGGTCTAGGTTGATCATATTTCACAACCTAATACTCCAGTATTTTAAAGAAAACTGCAGCCTTACAACAATTCATTGACAATATACAATCATATCAATTCATAGTTATGTTACTGACATAACTTTAAACATGGACAAATAAACAAAAAGAGGGAAAGGTTTGTATTCAATTGTCCAGAGACCAGTTTCTTCTTTATAACATTCTAGGCCAGTAACACCAAGGAATGAAAACTTACTAACATCTTCTGACTATTGTTAAAGTAGACCAACAGAGCTATGAGTTCAGTTGATCATATTGAATTAGTCCTTTAGTAAAGGCAAGTTCAAGTTTTCATTCTTCACATTTAAAAAGGACGAGAAAAGAGTCATACCTGAACTGGAATCATCATAACCTGTTAGCTGATATTCTTTGTGACCTGACCTCCGAAAAGCCTTTTCCCTACGCTGTGACTTAGAATATTTATCCTGAATCCCAGGTATTTCTGCAAATTGATCATTATTATTTGGGGCCCGATAATGAGCAAGATTATCTTCAGATTCTGGAAAATGTCCTTGGTGCTTCTCAATGGAACTGGAGAAATTTTCTGTAGGCACATGAATTAGGTCTTTTTCATGCTAGTTGGTCGGGGAACATAACATATATTTATTTATTACTAACAATTTAAAATAATAGTATTGTTTGCCTAAAAAGTGTTAAAATTATTAGAATAGAACTCTATGCTAAACAAAACGTGTTGAGATTAGTTTTTGAACTCGAAAATATTTGACTGCACAGCTGATGCCAGCATTTTATGTTAGTACTTTGGTTTGCCCAAGAAACACTTAATATTACTATTGCTCTCTACTAAACTTTATTATCTTGACCAATCGATTTGTGTAAATTTCTACAACTAGTTCCTTATCTATCTTTGCTGGACAGGAGGGGTCTCAATGACATCCCCAAATATTTTCCTTCCCACAATAGAAAACTTAACCTAATTGCAGGAATTTTGGTTTAAAATAATGATATCTAGTTTCTGTTTAAAGAAATCGTATAAGTTGATTTAGTATGATTGTCAATTTTTAGGTTTTGAAATTTCAAAATTTTATTATGAGAATAATGAGATACTGTTTTGGAAAACATATTATAAATACTTTCGTCTTAAAACCATATCTTTTCAATGTTGTTTAATAAGTTCCATTTTCTTTATCAGTCAGTTGAAAGTTCATTAATAATCATTAACATATTTATTTTCATACTTTTCTTTACTAATTGCAGCTATAAATGATAAAAGACACGACAGAAAGTGCAGGCAACGATTTATCAGAGACACCTTTCAAACTAGATAACAATATTTTTGTTAATGTTCTTCGTCGACATAAATTTATATCTAATAAATATATTCTCTTCCAGATTGAATACGATAAACTTAACAATAAATAAGAATTTGAGTAACTAAAATATTTTGCATTCTCCAACAGAACTGGATAAACTTAATTATCTGATGTATTATCGTAAAAGAAAATTTCTGGAGCTTTCATACAGATATAAGTTAACCCGAAATTATTGTTCAAAAAGTCTAAATAAACTATAAAAAATGTCCACATCTGTGGTTTGTTCCTAAGTTTTCTAAACTTTCCATTAAATTCCGCAATAAATCCGGGTGGCCATTTATTTGAAGATACGACAAAATTAAACCATTTTATTTACTTCATATTGACGCAAAGACAAAATTATACCTCTATATTTACTTCATATTGACGCAAAGACAAAATTATACCTCTATATTTACTTCATATTGACGTAAAGACAAAATTATACCTCTATATTTACTTCATAGTGACGTAAACACAAAATTATACCTCTATATTCACTTCATATTGACGTAAAGACAAAATTATACCTCTATATTTACTTCATATTGACGTAAACACAAAATTATACCTCTATATTTACTTCATATTGACGTAAACACAAAATTATACCTCTATATTTACTTCATACTGACGTAAAGACAAAATTAAATCACTTAATCTATTTCATATTAACGTAAAGACAAAATTAAATCACTTTATTTAATTCATATTGATGTAAATAGAACATAATCTGCTCCATCCAACTGTACTTAGCCATTGGCTCTACGTATTTTCAAAGTTTTGCTTCATTTATAGCTGTTCAGAGCACATGCTGTGATATCATAAAAGGTCGCAAATAAATGCTATAGTAATAAAACCACTAACAGATAAGGAGAATCACGTGAAAAAAATGAAATGAATCATTATATTTTCAAAGAGTGATATTTTCTTAGCTATTATAAACTTTACTTTGACGTTGAAAGAAAGACTAAAAAATTCGATACATTTTTTTTACATAAAAACTTGTGGAAGCTATACAGAAATGAAACTTAGAGTATTTGTCTCATTTTTCTTTGCACTAAATAAATATATATAACGAAAAATATCAATTCTGAAATTATTTTGAGTTAAGTTAGAAATGTTATTTTTACTTAATTTTTGGAACTAGATGTATATAGATGATTACTCTATCTAATTTACTTAATTATTATCTTTGTTTGTCATTACCTCTAAATGACATAACACACGCCACTCTGTCTAGTTTACTTGATTATTATCTTAGTTTGTCATTACCTCTAATTGACATAACACATGCCACTCTGTCTAGTTTACTTAATTATTATCTTAGTTTGTCATTACCTCTAATTGACAGAACACATCCCGTACGTCTGGTAAACGATCATGATTACGTTTACGACGAAACGTGTTCTTCCAGGTGAGAAACCGTTTCTTTACTGTTTCTGCTTGATGATGAGTAAGTGTAGCTAACTGTTCTTCTAATAGATCCTCTTCATCCTGACCAGCTAATGCTGAAAGTACAACATAACTCATTAAAACTGCACATGGCTCTACCTATCTTTTTTCTATGATCAGCTCCATTAGAAGTTGTTCACATCACACAGTGCGACACCATAAAACGGTGGCAACTAAATGCTATAATAATAAAACCAGCACTTGTACTTCTTGCATTGGAATACCACATTCAAAGCACTAGGTCTATTTTCCATTTTACAACCAGCTAACTTTGAAAGTACAGTACCTCAAGCCAATGGCCAATAGCCAAACTATAAAGTAGCACGAAGGTACACGATGTGGAAAGTTTTTGTAGTTCTTCGTGTCCCCTCAAGCCAATAAAGAAACTATAAAGTAGCAAGAAAACATGTGATGTGGAAAGTGTTTGTAGCTCTTATTCCCTCAAACCAATACGGAAACTATAAACGTTATAAAATAATTTCAGGCAATGGATCTTTTTTTGCATGATCCACCTAATATTGAAAGTAAAGGAAAGATCATAAGGGGATAGTCGAGTTGAAAATAAATAATACGTGGAAACTAAAAGATCATAAGGGGATAGTCGAGTTGGCAATTAAAGATGGGCAGTGCAAAGATACATAAATATCGGTATTTTTCTGTAATGGACAGTAAAGAATGTAAGCTGATCATTTTATAAAGGATAATATTAGATTAATCAATGGATATGATACGTGTGTAAAAAGTGGTGGCACTGGTAGTTCACTAGTTAAATCATAAAATGTACACAACATACATGATATATATACTAGTGGGGTAATAATGTCAATGGACAATAACAAATGGATAGTACAGAGATGTAAAGATGACAGTCAGTACAAAACCGGGTATAGAAAACAATGCCAAATTATCAGTAAGTAGTACAAGTATTTTTAACGAATGGACAGTAGAGAGGGGTAAAAATGGCAGTCAGTTACTCAACGGAGAACAAAAGACAATGGCCACATTAGCAACTAATAAATGATTATAACAGAGTTAAAAATATATAATGTGTTAGGATATACTAAAGGTAAAGCTGTTTGTCTAGAAAAGAGAACACATTTAATTGGTCAGTAGATGGTGGATGTATAGAAACAATAAATCAGTTACCTTAATTAGTGGACAATGGAAGTTTCCAGAAAACAAGGCATGAATTTCTTTATTAGTTATTCACTTTCAGTTGAAATTATCTTCAGATGAATGAACGTACCTTGTTGAAGTAAGGATTCAAAGTAAAACCCTGCATCTCGTAACCAGTCATCTTCCCTTTCACCTTCTATTGAAAAAACAGATAATTAGAAACAATATACAAAGAAAATACGTTGGGAACTGTAGCTATAATAGTGGAGACCATAATAAATAAAAAAAACATCAACTGGATTTGAACGGAAAAGAAACATTACTACCGATAAATGACACAGAGATAAAACAAAAATGATTCGGGAATTTTAAACTTAACTTTAGCAGCACATAAACGAAATAACAAGAGTAATGACCTAGATCAACGAAAAAAACCAAGATAAACTAAATTCCACGACATAGATAAAGTCATGATCACAGTGGCCGATAACACTAGTAGTTCATAAAGATTCCCACCCACCGACATATTCTGAGCTTTGAATAGTTGGCCCACAAGACTATAGAAAAAAAAAACATTATAAGGTGATACCTTCCAAACTTGTCGTTGTTTAGTGATCAGGTTCCTATTATATATATCATATGTATTTCACATAAAGAAACGTACTTTGTGTATGTGTATATCATTGTTGTCGTTGTTTAGTGACCAGGCTGCTATTATATATATCACAAGTATTTCACTTAAAGAAATGTACTTTGTGTATGTGTATATCATTGTTGTCGTTGTTTAGTGACCAGGCTGCTATTATATATATCACAAGTATTTCACTTAAAGAAACGTACTTTGTGTATGTGTAAATTTACAAATTTACATTTTCTATCTGTTCCACTTCTTTGAATAAATATAAATTTACAAATTTACATTTTATATCTGTTCCATTTCCTTGAAAGTATATATATATTACCAAATATACATTGTTATTTATTCAAAGAAGTGGAACAGATAGAAAATGTAAATTTGTAAATCTGTATTTATTCAAGGAAGTGGAACAGATAGAAAATGTAAATTTGTAAATCTGTATTTATTCAAGGAAGTGGAACAGATAGAAAATGTAAATTTGTAAATCCTTT